GTTCTATGTAACATAGGCTGTATTATCAACAGACAAGACTGAGAGACTACTGTATGTAACATAGGATGTATTATCAACAGACAAGACTATGAGAGACTACTGTGTGTGACATGGGCTGTATTATCAACAGACAAGACTGTGCAGACTATTCTATGTAACATGGGCTGTATTATCAACAGACAAGTCTGAGAGACTACTGTATGTAACATAGGATGTATTATCAACAGACAAGACTGAGAGACTACTGTATGTAACATGGGCTGTATTATCAACAGACAAGACTGAGAGACTACTGTGTGCAACATGGGCTGTATTATCAACAGACAAGACTGAGAGACTACTGTATGTAACATGGGCTGTATTATCAAAAGACAAGACTATGAGAGACTACTGTGTATAATATAGCTCTACTGATCAACAGACAAGACTGTGAGACTTCTGTATATAACATAAGTCAACTGATCAACAGACAAGACTGTGCAGACTATTCTAGGTAACGTAGGCTGTATTATCAACAGACAAGACTGAGAGACTACTGTATGTGACATGGGCTGTATTATCACCAGACAAGACTATGAGAGACTACTGTGTATAATATAGCTCTACTGGGCTGTATTATCAACAGACAAGACTGAGAGACTACTGTATGTAACATGGGCTGTATTATCAACAGACAAGACTGAGAGACTACTTTATGTAACATGGGCTACCAACAATCTATAAATAACATCTAGGTATGTTACTTTGGAATATCAATTTTATAATATTATCACATTGGAAGAGAATTTGTAATAAATAAATAAATGATTGATTGATTTAAAAATTTCATGTTAGTTTAGGGTAGCAATTGTAGATCTTTAAGTTTCAGGAATTATAATTTTATCTATATATTTAAATTGCATAGAAAGTGAAAAAGATGTTCTAACAGTAAATGCACAATTTTGTTTTCAGGTTTCAATGGGTTCCTAGCATGTCGAGATGGACAACTGGTATTGGGGAATGTGTTAGATGATTGTAGAGATAACCTTCCATTGGCTGCAGTCACGGTGTTAGTGAAACTTATTATGACCTAAAATACTTTATAAACATTTACTCTCTACAGACTACAGATAATTTTAACTAAGAAAACTAGAATTAGAAATCATTCAGTTTTTGTTTTTAACAGCAGTTGTAAAAATTTCTAAACAAGAGTTCATTAATTTTTGGGGAAGACATTGTGTTTTTCAATGTATATGTATCACAACTATATTCCAGCACTTATGTTATTTCAAAAACTGTTAACTTGCAATTGTTGTAAAACTTTTAAATCAAAAACTGTAGTAAAACTCTTAAATCACACTTATCATGGTAAAAAAGTGTATCACAGCTGCTGTAAAATCAGTTGTACTTATGGTAAGGTTGTGGTGATCAAACATCTGTTGTTATTACTTCCCATAGTACTTATAGTAAGGTTGTGGTGATAAGATATCAGTTGTTACTACTTGACACAGTACTTGTGGTAAGGTTATGGTAATTAGATATCAGTTGTTTTTACTTCACACAGTACTTATGGTAAGGTTGTGGTGATTAGGTATCAGTTGTTATTACTTCACACAGTACTTGTGGTAAGGTTGTGGTGATTAGATATCAGTTGTTATTACTTCACACAGTACTTGTGGTAAGGTTATGGTGATTAGATATCAGTTGTTATTACTTCACACAGTACTTGTGGTGATTAGATATCAGTTGTTATTACTTCACACAGTACTTGTGGTAAGGTTGTGGTGATTAGATATCAGTTGTTACTACTTCACACAGTACTTGTGGTAAGGTTGTGGTGATTAGATATCAGTTGTTATTACTTCAGAAAGTACTTGTGGTAAGGTTGTGGTGATTAGATATCATTGTTATTACTTCACACAGTACTTGTGGTAAGGTTGCGGTGATTAGATGTCAGTTGTTATTACTTCACACAGTACTTGTGGTAAGGTTTTGGGTACCAAGTATCGTCATTGTATCACATAGTATTTATTTTTCGGCTGCTAATCTGTTGCCACTTGAGGGAGGTTCTATACATGTGGTGGTCATGGCTAACATACCAAACAAGGTCTTATTGATAGAGAGGCTGTTGAGTATCCAGTTCTCTGGGGGTCTCCACATTAGGACTTTAATCAACTAACCTAATTCAGTCTTTTAAAGAGACATTTCAGACATGTTTTCATGTTTCACTACTTGGTTTTATACTATTAACAGTTGAATCCAGACACACTTTCATGTTTCACTACTTTGTTTCATACTACTAATAATTGAATTCCCACACCTTATCAACTAGTGTTGAAGTAATAACTAAGTTATGTTCCATAGTATTGTGGTATTTTCAGATAGCAATGATTTTCCCTAATAGTGATGAGTGTCCACAGAACAATGGGAGTTTGTCAAGACATTTACCATGAAATATTTCTGTATTTTCTAACTAACTGAGCTAGTGACAAATATAGACTGAACACAGATGTACAATCACAATAAACAATCTTTATTACAACAAAAACAGTGAAAGCATACTTTAATTGCAACAATGGTCAGTAACTTTTCCTAGAGAGTTAGCTCTGAGGTTGTTTCTCTCTCTTGAACAAACTTACTCAGTCAAGATCATGTACAAAACTGAATAAATCTCATGCTGTTTACTTAACTCCCTAATATTAGACCTACCAAGTGCAACTAGCACTATCCATGTGCTGGTCATTCCCAATGAAACATAAGGGAGGTCATAACCTCAAAAGATCACCTTACTCTAAATAAAAAAGACTACTGTCTAATGTCACATTACAGATGACCTTGCAGCTATTTTGTATTCTGTATTAATAGAAGGAGGTAGAAACCATGGCATGGTTATATACCACACTACATGCTTTGTTGAAGTTGTAACTCAATCACATATTATAGTGTGATACAATGAAGTCAAAAGCAGTTGTGTATTATAGCATGAGTTAAATTGGAGTCTTCGCTTAGTTGATTATGATAATATTTATGTTGTACTGAAGAAATAGCTCAACTGTATGTGTTGTAGTGGTTTAACTACATATAGCATGTGTTGTACTGAAAGCATAGCATGTGTCATACTGGTTTAATTACATAAAGCATGTGTTGACTGAGATCATAGCTCAGCTACATATCATAGCATGTGTTGTACTGGTTTAACTATATAGCATATGTACTGAAGTAATAGCTCATCACATATTGTAACACGTGTTATATTTTGTTAACTACATATAAATGTGTTGTGTTGAAGTCACAGCTCACATGCATGTTAGAGAATAACTTAAATTCAAATCACTACACAGTTGGAGTCTTACTATATAAGACTTTCAAATTGCATCTTACATTTTCGAGTTTAATAAGTTTGACGGTAAGAGTTAACTTCATAAAGTACTGTCCTATGGCAAAATTCATGTTGTGTTTAAAACTTACTTACATTTTCGAGTTTAATAAGTTTGAAGGTAAGAGTTAACTTCATAAAGTACTGTCCTATGGCAAAATTCATGTTGTGTTTAAAACTTACTTACATTTTCGAGTTTAATAAGTTTGACGGTAAGAGTTAACTACATAAAGTACTGTCCTATGGCAAAATTCATGTTGTGTTTAAAACTTACTTACATTTTCGAGTTTAATAAGTTTGAAGGTAAGAGTTAACTTCATAAAGTACT